ATATACTAATAATAATAATAATATATTATAAAATGTTATATTATTATTATATTATATAAATAATTATTATTCAATAAGTCAAGTCTATCAGCAGTTGTTAGTATTAACACAGTGAAGGTGTTGGGGGTGAGACAGGAGGCAGACAGCTGGAGGATGTTTCATACAATTCACAAAACTTGGTTCACAATAGGATTTTCTTATCATTTGTTTTTAACAAAATGAGATTGAAGAAGACAAATTATGACTGAAAAAGTTTTTCTCAGACAAAAATCTACGAAATGTATTTTCTCTTATATTTTGTTAATGCAATTATATAATCCTTCTTTTATTTCTGAGGCAGGGTATTAGCTGTGCCACATAATGCATATTTCTGATGTCTTTGTGCCTTGATACCACAATTAATGTTTCATCTCACGACTTGAATCTTCATATATTTGTAATGTCATTTAACCGTCTCACGATTTATCTTTACATTTCTAAGGTGTTGTGGTCAGAGTGGGCACATTACATTATAAAGAGAAAACCTAGATTGTTCATGATTGTGAAGTGGTCACACTTACGGTAAACTCTAATAATATTATGTAAATTCAGTTCTGTATTAAAGATTGACCAATAAATCGCCCGGGCTGATATATCAGCTGATATTGGCTTATTGTAAATATATTGGAACTGGTGTTTATTTAGGTTGAGAAGTAACAAGAAATTGCAGAAGAGAAATACCAAAGTTGGTTTGAGGTCATTTAAAAACAATGTTTCCATTACATAGTTTGTCCACCAGAGAGCACTGAGAAGTTTATTGTTTAATTGTAAAATGAGCAGCCTAGGATGTATCTTGGTTACAAAAATACATATCAAAGGGTCCACATCAAGATTGTTTCAAGAAAATTACTATCGGCCATCGTAATTAGATTTTATAAACCCCCAAATATGTATTTATTTATTTATTATTTATATTGGTATCAGCCTCAAATGTCCAATATTTCTTGGGATATATTCTGTATTTCTAATTTCTTCTAATTCCACAGTTACAATGACTACAACTCGTGTACTGTAGGCTCTTAAGACCAATTAATTAAGTGGTCTGTTAGTTACCGTCTTCTGCCTCCCTGTGATTGATTAGACCGTAATTTCAGGAATAAAGCAGTAATTTCCTATAAAAATAAATATCCAGATATGATAGTTCAGTTTGAGTAGTTTAGGTAACTTAGATGGAGCTGCTGGGTTAACTTGCTGTGGATGGATAAATCATTTCTTTCATAGAGGGGTAATTATTTTTTTCAGACTGCAGTGCCTCCTGCAGATCATCCTGTGTCATGCCCTGGAATTAAAGTGTCAGAAATAGAAAACACTCCCAAATCTATGCTACAGGAAGCCCTGTATTACTGGATGCTGCTGCTCTGCTGCTGATGTGTTGCTGTGTCACCTCTAGTTTCAGAGAAGTATTGGAGAGAAAGAGGAGCATGCAGACCTCTGGATTGGCTACTGTGCCTTTCACTTGGGGGATTACAAGAGAGCTATGGAGGTATTTATTTTTTGATGTGTGTGTGTGTGTGAATGAGTATGTGTAGCTGGATCATTTCTCATAAAGTTAATTGCTAATTGCAGTATTTAAATATGTAATTCTAAATAGTAGGTGGGTGGAAGGACTGCTTTTATCGGCTCCTATCACGTTTGTTGTATTTCTTCATTATGTTACAGGAGTACAAGTCTCTGACCATGAAGCCTGAATGTCCTGCTGACGTGTGGGTCTATCTGGCCTGTGTCCTGTTTTTTCTGGGGCTTTATAAAGAGGCTGAGGAGGCTGCATCTAAGGGTAGGCTTTCAAACTGAGTGCATTACTCCTCTGACCTGTATGAATCCACTGGACATTTTGTTCTGTGTTGTTTGGGAAACAGTCCTCTTGGTCAGCAGTACTGTGGCACTATTAAGCATTTTATTGTCTGTAGCTTATCAATACATTTTCAAAAGGTGGAAGAATATGGTATTCACATCTACTATGCCAACCAGACCTCCAAATAAAGGTCTTCCTCTTTTTTAAAGATATAATGAAACATATTTTGCAATTGAAGTGGACCAACTTGGTGTTTAGTGGTTTCTAAATATCAATAATTATGGGTTTATTTTTCAGTTAAAAATCACATTCATCTAACTGACAACTTGTTGATTTAACTCATTTAACTACTTATTTGTAGCACATAAATTAAATCCAAATGTCTCCACGAATGCACATCCAGAAGCCCACTACTTTCTGTGCCGGGTGTTGTCCACACGCTCTGTTCATATAGTGTGTTTGTGGACGACCTTCAGTTATAACAGTAATTGTACACCAGGCTTTATTCGAGAAGTCTAATAATTACTTACAGGCTTTTATTGTGAAGCAGCTGTTGTTAAGACCTTTTGCTGCTTAAAGTACACAAAGGAAATCAGTGGATTTAGCAGATTTTGTTAAATGGGTTGCTGTACTGCTCCTCAGTTACTGTATACATTTTTTGCCAGCTCACATACAATGCTGTTCAGTCAGTTATGTAATTGCTGAGAGCAAGGTTGTGATGTTAATGATAATTAGTGTGTCTGTTATTATCATGTCTGTACTACATTTGGTATCTCTTGCTTTCTGTAGCACCAATGTCCCCGCTGCAAAACCGACTTCTCTTCCACTTGGCTCACAAGGTTGGAAAACTATATTATTATTATTATTATTATTATTATTATTATTATTATTATGACTACTAGTAGTAGGAATACTATTAT